CTATGAGAAGAATCGGGCCAATGCAAGGACCACGAATACTAGAGTATTTACGCCCGGAGTAGTTACGCCCGACGCTGATCAGGAGGACTATTATGGCATAGTTGAAGAAATATACGAGCTCGAATACCATGGTGAAAATGCACCTAAGCTTGTCGTATTCAAATGCCAGTGGTTTAAACCTACAGTACAGAGAAAGTCCCCTAAACTTGGAATAGTCGAAACTAGACAGGATTCCTTCTATGAAGAAGATGATGTCTATATTGTGGCTCAACAAGCCAGGCAAGTTTATTATTGTCCATATGCGTGCAAAACGGACCCACGTCTTCAGGGTTGGTATATTGTGCACAAGGTATCACCACATGGTAAATTACCTCGCCCAAACGATGATGATTACAACTTGAACCCACCCACGCATGACGGGGAGTTCTATCAACAAGACGAGGGACTACCAGGGATGCTTGACATAGACTTAACCGGGGAGTTTGAAATGGAAGTAGACGAGGAATGGGTTGTTGACGAGCAAGCTGCAGATGAGGTGCATGATCCGAGAGACTTGAAAATGCTTGACGGACTACAACTAGATAGCGATGAGGATGAGGCTGTTGACGATTTGGAGGCTCTTGATAGTGATGATGATACCTATCGTCCAGATAATCCCGATCATGAAGAATATTAGAAATACATGTAATACTATGTTATTTTGTAATTACATTTTCTTTATTTTGCATCCCTTGCTAAGTACTTCTCGTTTATCATGACTAATAATGGTTTATTCTTTTTAATTACAGGTGATGGGACCCACTAGGAGGAGCTGTCCCTCGACTTACTCGAGACTGAGGGACACATCAGCGGCTGAGGAGACGGAGACGTCAGAGAGGCAGAGGCGTCCGAGGGGCAGGCCCAGGCGGGGGGCCCCGCCGCCGACTGACCACGACCTTGGCTCCTCGCGCTCTGCTAGGGCTGACGATGTACCTCTGCCCACGGTGGGTGAGGACGCCATTCCGCAGATGTACGATGATGCCGTTCTGCACGCGTCCGAGGAGGGGGTTCCACACACGTCCGAGGAGGGGGCAGGGGGTTCGACTTCCTCTGCAGCCTCAAAACCCTATAAGCGAGGTCCCAGCCAGCTCCCGAAGCGACCGATTCTTGTTGATCGCCGCCCACTGATTGCACCCGAGGGGGATAGGTAAGTAACTTCATATGTTCTTCATTTGATATGTTGAAAAATCATAATAAGAGCTAATAATAACAACTATTGTTAACCACTTGTGCAGAAACTGGATGCTTGTGGAGGAGGGGGTCCCGGCTCGCAATGTCAATGGGATCCTAGGACTTCTGTGCAGGGAACACTTCACTGGCCTGATGTGGACGTCGGAGGATGAGGACCCAGAGATACCCTCGTTTGACCACTACGCCCTCTTCCCCGCCACTGGGCACCTAAACTTGGCGGATCAGGTGCTTATGGAGTTGTGGGTAAGCCTTTCTCGCTCTACGACCCTCAATTCATTGCATTCATTGGACATTCTTGAAATAAAATAATGGATACCTCGTGTCTTTATGCAGGACTTCTTCAGATGCCAGCCGGGACAGGAGTTAACGGCGCATGAGGTGGCTGCCGCTTCCTGTAGAAGGCGTGTCTCGGACTTGTATCACGAGTCCCGCCTCCAGGCGCACATTGACTACAACACCACCTACCGTAATAGAAGAATGAACAGAACTCAGGCAAGAAGAGAGATAGAGATTCTGACAAGGGAGCAGTACCTACAGGTAAATAGAAAACATCTCCTATTGATCTCTTTTTAGATTAACTATGCCTAATTTGATCTTCTGATGGCTTGTAGGTGATTACGATTTGGTGCGCCACCTTTCCCGATTCTTTGGGCTGCTATAGTGGACAAATGGTTGGACGCGGATTTGGCGGAAATAAGCGCACCAAGAGAAAAGCGAGCACCGTATGCTAATGCCGGTGTACTCTCACCATCGAGGCAGCGCCACCCTCAAAGAAATACAAAAAAGACATATGTAAGTCTCCACCACTTGTCTAATCTAGCAGCGCGCTCAGTGCATGATTCCTAACCACATGTTGTTGTCTTTCTCGGGGAGGAGGCGCACGGTGGCCATCAATTAGCCAACTCACGGCGTATGCTCTGGCCCACATGGGCCCGACAAAGTCCAACATCGAGTACAACCCGGATGCGGGCCCGAGAGGTGTACACCAACTCCAGGCGTCCACACACCGCCGGTTCAGTACACACAGGCGTCAAGGTTAGTCCACGGGTCGGACTACGATCCGAGGACCGAGGAGCGCCTTTGATCTGAGCTAGTGATGAGGATTGGGCAAGACAAGAAGCATGGGCGGTTTTACATGGGTGACGGCATCCTCGAGACGGGTGTACTCCTCTCAACCGCCTCACGAGCGTGAGCACGAGCTCTAAGCGTGCCCATAAGCCAACGGCCGAAAGTGGTGGCTTCAATCCGAGTAAGTATTCAGTTTCATTCGTTGTTCTTTCACTTTTACGTTCCTTAGCTCGCATTATTGAAACATTGGGGTCAAATGTTGCAGCCGAGCTCTGCAACAACTTTAGGCTCAAAGCAAAAGAGTTTGTCGGGCGAAAGGTGAGGCCGAGCGGGCCGAAAGGAGTCCGAGCGTCCGAGGGTACAAGCTTTGGAGGCCCAAAGCAAGATGGTTTGCTCAAGTTCGTACAACAACTTGGGGAGAAACAAGGTTGGGAGATCCCAAGAGAGCTGCTTGCACCACCACCACCATATCGTCGAGAGTCTACTCCGGTGAGTATGAGTACGGATGTTTTACTTTCTTTGCTCATGCTTAGTGTCAAACCTAGTGATGGCCTTCGTGCCGGATTTGTTGATGTGTCGGCATTCGTGCCGGATTTGTTGATGTGTTGGTCTTCGTGTCGGAATGTGGTTGTCGGCCTTCGTGCCGACGCGTTTTTCTTCTTGAGTTTTGGAAATCTCCGTGCGGAGGGAGGTGTGCGAAATTTTTCAACTTTTCTTTACACTCCTTACATTTTTATCTTGTCACTCACGTGCAATCTCCTCTCTTTTTGCAGCATCAATCGGGTGGGCGTCGAACCATGTCGAAGGGTCGCCGGCATCGCACGTCGGGCCATCCCCACCTGGACCGTCGCCGGGATCGCACGCTGGGGCATCCCACCCCTCACAGTCGCCGTGAGCCGCCTTGGGAGTCGTTTTTTTATTGAACTTGTGAACTTGGAATAGTATGTACTTTTGAACGTGTGTTTTGTAATATATTGTGGATTTCGGACAAATTTGGTCGTTTGTGATATATAAATGTGGTTTGTGATATATTGGTGTTGATTTGTGGTTTGTGATATATATTGGTCTTTGTGATATGCTTTGTTGTTTACATGGAAAAGTAAAAAACAAAAAAAAAGAATTTTAGAGGTGGCTTCCCCGAGTGCCTGTGCTGTGGCACTCGGGGAAGAAGGATTTTTTTAAAAAATTCTTTCCCGAGTGCCTGAACTGCAGCACTCGGCAAAGAGTATTTAAAAAAAATTCAAAAATCTTTCCCGAGTGTTGCACTCGGGAAAAAAAAAAACGACGTCGGCCGTCGACCAACAGCGTCAAGTCTTCCCCGAGTGCCAGCACGGCACTCAGCAAAGCTTTCCCCGAATGCACGATTTTTGACACTCGGGGAAGACGACTTTCCCGTGAGAGGATTAACCGGAGGCTCTTCTCCGAGTGTTGCACTCGGGGAAAGCTTCCCCGAGTGCAACTGGGCCTTCCCCGAGTGCCAATCCAGCCGTTCCTGTAGTGATTTATATATATAAAATCTCCAAGGCACAAGTTGTTGAGGTGACGACGTAACAAGATGTACGTTCCGTTACAATGTATAAGTACATTTGCTAGTAGGCTTAAAGAACAATAATATCATGGCCAATGATACATATAAGTATAGTTTTGTGTACGTAAAAACAAGCAATTTTTTTGCACTCAGTACACAACGAACAAACTCACAGAAGCGTGCGGTACGCCGGTACCTCTGAAAACTAAACTCAATCTGTTTTGCCCCCTAAACTTGTTGCTTAGTACTTTTCATAAAAGAACCCCCTCAAACTCCAATAGGGAAAGGCTGAGTGCATGCAACACTGTAATGTTTTGTTGCTTGCACCTAACCTAGTCCGTTGAGACTGTGTTTGGTTACTCGCAACAGATCATGTTGCATGATATAAAATTAGGTAAATAAACATAATCACAATATTATATGCAACTATTCTTATTACTCTAAATTTATCTTATTCTTCCTTAATATTTTCTGAATACATTGATATTAATTAGTATACACTAATTATGCACTAACAGTGGCATTATCTAGATAATTTCTCGTATATGGCTAGCATGGTCCCGGAGAAACGTCCAAAATCATTAGACCATCTCTAATAGTTCTAAAAAAATCAATTGGTAAAACAATGAGTTTTCTTAGTGGCTAAAATAAGTGGGGAGTATATTCATTGACCTTCTCCAACAGTTTTCAAAATCGCTCCTACAATTATGCACCAGGAACCTGTATTATTTACAAATCACCCTGCTAATCGCTTTTATACTTTCTTTCTCTTTTGTATATTTTCATTACATTGAGAGTGAGTTTTGGAAACTCTTAGATGCTCTTACATGAGTTGAGTCAAACCCAGAATGTTATATAGGGTAACCATTAACCAATCATCAGAAATTTACATCCTATGATTGTGGCTGGAATATACGCAACCAACCAATCACGCCCAGCATCTCCTGCTTAGCTTACTCTTACCACTTTCCCTCCCTCCTCCAGCCAGCGCAGCCTCTACACCCACTGTTGAAGAAACCCACATAAAATAAACCTAGGCTTCTCAACGCCATGTGTCTCTCTCCTCGCCGTTGTCGTTCTCGTCCTCAACTATAAATATCTGTGCTTTGCGCTCCCCAATCCCCATAAGCACCAAGCTCCTTGCTGTCCCTGCACATGCATGCATCTTCTCCCCATGGCTCACTGCAATCTCCTCGTCGCCATCGTCGCCGTCGTGTTGTTGGTTGCAGTCGGAACCAAGGCGTCCGGCGGCATCGGGTTCAACCTCCACCATCGGTTCTCGCCGGTGGTCCGGCAGTGGATGGAGGCGCGAGGCCACGCCCCCGGCTCCAGCTGGTTGCCAGAGGATGCTCCGAAAGGCTCGCGGGAGTACTACTCCGCACTGCTCCGCCTCGACCGTGCCCTCTTGGCCACCCGCCGCGGCCTCGCCAACGCCGACGGCCAGAGCACGCTTATCTTCGCCGACGGCAATGCCACTCGCCGCCTCGATCACCATGCATTGTACGGGCTCCTCTCTCTCATTTGTTTTCAGATATATAGTTGCCAGCTTGTGCCGCCATTGATTGATCATGTCGACCGACTCAGCCACTAATATGCTCGAGCCTCGTGCTCATGACTTCATGCATGTATATATATGTAATCTCGCAGCTTGTACTACGCGGAGGTGGAGGTGGGCACGCCGAGCTCGAAATTCCTGGTGGCGCTGGACACTGGCAGCGACCTCTTCTGGCTGCCCTGCGAATGCAAGCAGTACTGTCCGGAGACCGGCAACACCACGGACATGGAGTGGTCGTCGTACAGCCCGAGCCAGTCGTCCACGAGCAAGATGGTGCCGTGCGACCACCCGCTCTGCGAGGACGCCTGCGCCGCGGGCACGGTCAACACCAACAGCTGCCCCTACAACGTGAGTTACGTCTCCGCCAACACCAACTCGTCGGGGGTGCTCGTGGAGGACGTGCTGCACCTCACGGGCGGCGGCGGCGAGTCGGTGGAGGCGCCGATCGTGTTCGGGTGCGGCCAGGTGCAGACGGGCCTCTTCCTGCAAGGCGGTGCCGAGGGCGGCCTGATGGGACTGGGCACGGGCAATGTCTCCGTGCCCAACGCGCTGGCCAGCAGTGGCCTCGTCACGTCCGACAGCTTCTCGATGTGCTTTAGCCGCGACGGGGCCGGCCGGATCAACTTCGGCGACGCCGGCAGCCCGGACCAGGCCGAGACGCCATTCATCGCCCCCGGGAGCTTACAGTTAGGTCTTCAGTAATCTTGTGTCTGCATATCACTTGCCGATCGAGACAGACACTGATGACGTTTTATTTTGTTTCCAGGCCCGACTTTTTACAGCATCAGTCTCGCAGCGATCAGCGTGGACGGCAAGGCTATGCCGGTGGAGTCACTACGTCAAAAAGGGTTTTTAGGAGCGGTCGTAGACTATTTGTAGGGGCAATTTGTCCAGCCGTTCCTACGCAAGGTCTCTATAAATCATGTATTTGTAGGGGCGGTTCCCAGACCGCCCCTACAAATTGATTTGTAGAGACGGCTGGTGTTATCAGCCGCCCCTACAAATCGATTTGTAGAGGTGGTTGGTATGATAGCCGCCCTTACAAATCGATTTATAGAGGCGGTCTGGGAACACCAGCCACCCCTACAAATCGATTTGTAAGGGCGGCTACAGTACCAACTGCCCCTACAAATCATTTTTCCGCCAAAAATAAAATAAAATTACAATTCAAATTTGAGCAGAACATATATTTTTCATGCACAACTCCATCATGACTTATCTTCTTTTACGATTGTACTGAAACTCAATGACAATACATATTTATTTATAACAAATATTCCATGACAATACACGGTGCAAATTATTGTGCTTGCTGTTCATTTAAATTATGAGACTGCACACAGCATGTAAATTTGAAGTCTGGTATATGTTTTGAAGCTAACTGACTTGAGCTTCTAGTAGTTACAGTTCATACTTTGATTCATATATGTCTACCGATACAAGGGCTCATGATGACGAATATGCGAAGTCATTCAAGTTTCTGCACACAGGAAGGAGTCAACAAAATGTTGCAGGAATCTCCCAGGTCATAGAAGCATTTAGCAAGAGATGTGAATTGAGAAAAACAAGACGAGGCTGGATACTTGCATTGTTATTGGCTATCCTTAGGTCCAGAAACTCAACATCAATCGTAAAACGCCCATGCGACATTGCATCAACTTGTCAGACAAAGTCATCGCTGGTACGCAGAAGATGCTCGTGCACTGCCACAGGAAAAGGATAAAACAATAACATTTATTAGGAGAGATCAGTGAAGCCATCACAGCAACAAGAAAATATCAAGAGAATGGCAGGCACAGATGCAATGGGAAGGAGGGAGGGAGGGAGAGACTGACTATATTTCAGCACCAATCCCATATTGAGGGAAGCCTTCTTCTACGGTTACCAATCTATTGGTTTTCCTCATAGATGCATTAATAGCAGCTCTATCCAGCGGTCTGATCGAGCGAAGATTGATTACCTGAACAGAGAATTACTAAAGAATAAGACAACAACAATGGACTCCACGGGAAAAGAGATCTGGTAGCACAAGACTGTAGTGTAGAAGAAATGCAAAAAAACAAATTACCTCGGCACTGATACCTTCCTTGGCCAGTATATCGGCGGCCTGAAAAATGACAGAACATGAGAAATGCAACCAGAACCACCAACTAGAGAACTTCGTTTACTGGATCTTATTCTTGTTTTTTGTGAAAATTGCAATAGAATAAAGCTATAATTTTAAAAAGGGGATGGCTCAAGTTATAGATATTCAGGCAGAGCCAATCCATACATTCAAGGTGGCACCATGTGTATGTTGATTTCTTTGCTCAACTTTGTCCATGATAGACGAGGTTGGGCACTTGGGCAAGCAAAACCATACTAATCGGGGAAAGGCTACCTCAGAAGCAAGGGAATGGAAATCATTGCTCACCATTCCCAAAAGCAAGGCAACTAAACAGTTATCATCCCATGTAGCTAAGCAAGATTAGGTAAAGAATCCAAAACATGCATTATATAGTATACATTGATCTAGTTGGAAATATTTGTGTGCAAAATCATCCTTCATAAACAGAATAACAAATATTTGCAGAAAATCCATCGAGGGAAGCCAGATCAGATTGAACTCTTCACTTCCACTAATAAATATAAGAACATACCTTAGCCTTTCAATCGGAAGGCAGAAGCTAGAATCAAGTACCTCGTCAGAAACAGGAAAGGATTCACCATAACTGATTGCTGCTTTTAGCAAACCTGATTGCTGCTTTTAGCAAACCTCGAGCATCTTCTGTAGAATATGGAGCTAGAACTTTCAATCCGGGAACATGTGCATACCACTGCATACTAAGACAGTAAGTAATTCCATCAAAGTACAGCAGCGTACCTATCTGTAAATATTTACAGGACTATAATGTCCATGAGATGACCATGGTAGGCGGCACCAACACCAATGCCAATGAAGCCAGCCTGAACCAAAACAAATAAGATCAGTATGAGAATGTGATCGGGTCAACCTGACAGCTTATGAATGGACAATGGTGATCAATTTGCGGGTTTATAACCTCAGTAATTACAGTATCAAGAACCCTATCAGGGCCATACTTGTCACTAATAACCTCAGTAATTGGAGTATCAAGAACCCTATCTGTAAAAATTTCAGTAAGATTATACCTTGATAAATAGGATCTAATGTATCGGTCTCGGAGCAGACAAGATAAATAGGAGTATATACTATTAAGTAAAAACAGTTTTTCCTTTTGATTCCTTCAACATAAAAGCTGAGATTAAAGTACCAAAGAGTAACAACATAATAAAAGTAATATTCTACTCCATGCCTTGTCACTAATCTTTTACTTTTATTACTTAACAGCCATCCTCCGTTATACTCTGATGCACCTTAAAGTATATAGTCCTATTTATCTTCTACTATCATGTTGAGGCAATATTCTTATAATATGTTGATTAAACCACCAAAGAGTAATAATAACACAATAAAAGCAATATGTTGAAGTCATATTGGAGCCATCCTCATCAGTCGCCACAATGAATCTAATATTTTACTTCAACATAACAGCTGATATCAAACTACCAAAGAGTACCTGATTAACAGGTGATTCGGAGCATACGCCATTGTTAAGGGGATGCCCTTCCTCCAGAGTGATGCCGCGGTGACGTCGCGGACGAGAGCGCGCTACACCGAGCGGAGCAAGCGCAGCCATCGAGGTGTCCCCCTCCCCAACGTGCACCTCCGTGGTGGACAGGTCCACCAGATCCGGCAAACTCCGGCCGGCCCTGGCAAGGGGATGCGATGCATCCCCGCCCACGGCTGCCGACTCACCGAGGGGCGAAGGAGGGGCAGTGCGCTCTAACTTTCGGTCACCACCTCCGTGCGCTCATGCGGTCGCCGGACGGATTCGCCGGGCCTCCCTGTGCCTGGGCCCTGGAGCGGCCAACTGCACGTAGATCTATGCGGTGTTAGCAACAACTCTCCGGCGGGGGTGGACCGGTCACCGGTGGGGTGGGGGAATGGAAGGAAGACGGAACTGTAGCGGAGGGAGAGGAAGAGGCGACGACGGCGGAGGGAGAGGAGAGGAAGAGAGGTGGCGACGACGGCGGGGAGGGAGAGGAAGAGGAGAGAGGAGAGAGGACGGGGCTTGGATAAAGTGCGGACCTGACCTCTTCGGTTCACCGGATTTGATAATTTTTTCGGATCAGCGCTCGTCCAGCAACCATGCATTTGTAGGGGCGGCTCGTATTACCAGCCGCCCCTACTGTTCTATTTGTAGGGGCGGCTTAATCACCAGCCGACCCTATAAATAGCAACATCGGAGGCGGCTGGTGAGTGAGCCGCCCCTATAAATCCTACCCATTTGTAGGGGCGGTTCGTATCACCAGCCGCCCCTGCTGTTCCATTTATTGGAGCGGCTGGTCTCGTAGATCCTGAACACGTTATTGTAGGGGCGGCTGAGCCGCCCCTAAAACATTTTTGTCCCGTTGCTACGAACCGTTTTTCACATAGTGAGTTCGCCGCCCTTGTGGACCCCGGCTCGTCGTTTACCTACCTCGCTGACCCAGCTTACACATTGCTCACGGCCAAGGCAAGTCTCGACATTGCCATCGATCACCATCTCATCTCTTGCAAGCTGCTCATACGTTTTGTTTTGTTGTTTAACTACCATGGCCACTTATATGTATATGTCTGCACTGTGATTCGAAAAAAAATTATATGTATATTTTTTCTTGTACTGCAGTTCGATTCGGGGGTTTACGAGCTGAGAGCCAGTTATGGCCACGTCTTTGCAAACTTCGAGTATTGCTACAGCTTGAGGTAAACAAAATCATCACTTACTCTAAATAAGGCGAGCATATATATATATATATATATATATATAGAGAGAGAGAGAGAGAGAGAGAGAGAGTTCTTACTTGCACTAGCCATGGTCGTCCATGGATGGAAACGCAGCCCAGGGCAAACAAATGTATCAGTATTGGTGACAGTATTGACTCCACCATTGGCGGTATGTTGCTTTGCTCTCTGTTTCATCTCATTTTACAAAATATGCAATTGTTTCACACGTGCTCCTGCTTTCTTTTCCATTCGACCATTCCATACACTACATGAATAGTTTCTGAATCATGCATATATATGCAGAGAACTTCATGACAGGGCTCAAGGTTGTCTTTGACCGGAAGAGATCTGTCCTGGGGTGGGAGAAGTTCGACTGTGAGTGTTTATATGTTTACTTGTTGTGCGGAAAGAAACATAGAAAAGCTTTTCTTTTGATAGATCAGGGTGCCTTGAGAGGGGAAAGAATTCACCACCTGAATATATATTATTTGGATTGTAACTGTAGGTTACAAGGATGCTAAGATGCAAGACGGCGGGAGCCCCGACACTTCCCTTGGGAGCCCTGCCGGTGACTCTGCTCCGGGGAGCTCCGGCGGCGGCACTGCTCCGGTGTGGATCCCAAACTATGCTCCCTCCGTGCCACTGCCATGGGAGAACAACGCAACCGATGGACCGTACCCTGGCGACGGAGCGGTGTCCCTGCCGCGGCCAGCGAGTTCAGGTTCAGGTTTAGGCGGCAGCAGACGGGCGTTTGCAGGCGTCTCCTTGATACTGCTTTCTGTGCTGGTTGTTGCATCCCTGGCTTGATGACATTACTATACTGATGATGATCCACCTGAAACTCATGTAGGAGTAGTCTTCCTCGTCGTCATCA